ATAATTCTGTCTCACTGCAGCAGAATCTGCCTGAACATTTGCAGACTCTCCGGAAGACAAGCATTGTCAGCACTTGGCAAATCTTTCAAGTAGCGATAATCACAGTAAAATTTAGTAACACTGCCACTTGTGTACCGTATGAAATACCTTCTGGAGTCAGGTGTTGAAATGAACAGCCCTTGGGCTCCCCAATAGCACAGCCCTCTCCAAATAGAGGAGCTGACTATTGCTAATGATATCTAATTCTGCACCAGAAGAAGGGCTGCAGTTATTAATAATACTAATATAGATTTCATAAAATAATAGGTTCTACTAGATACTGTATCTACAGGAGCGTTCTTGAGATCCAAATACACCAGCAACTCTTAGCTCTGTAAACTGTGTCCATCACATCCCGCTTCTAATCAGCTTTTTATCATTGTTACTTGGATATCGACAAAAGGCTTGTTAAGGAAAGGAGGTACTACCTCATAATCTTCACTTAATGAGTGTTGAGACAGGTAAGAATACAAACGCTAAGCCTGCTAACAGGAACACTACACTTTTGTCATTCAGTGCCCAGCTCAGCCACGTCCACCTGAATGCTGTGGAGAAGAAGCTGTAGTAGAACCACAAAATCGTAAGCTGAATTTGCAACCAGTTTATCAACACTGCGATTACAAGGCAAGCTCCAGGCACTTAGGGAACAAGTGAGAAGACTGAGCAGTTGGCTGCATTTGTGCTAATGAACCCAGGACTTGAAAGGCATGAAGCATTTCTGAAGGGAGGCAGGAAGGACAGGAGGCAGCAGAGAAGGGCAGCAGGGTAATGAGGGGCAAGGCCAGCTATTCCTGAAGAAAATCACTTTGTTTTCTTCACGTAGGCCTCTCTACGATCGGCACGTATCTACTACTCCCCCCTTTGTTAGTAGGACTACAGAGAGACACAGCACTACAGCACTACTGGGGTGTAGAGGGTAAAGCCTTGGAGTGCTCCACAGGAGGAGCATCACGACTGCAGCGGGAGGGAGACCAAATACAATGGCAGCAGGGGGGAAGGTTAGATGGTGAGGTTAGGGAAACTGTTTCGGCAAAGGTGAGAAACACACAATTAAATTAACACTAAAACACAGCAAGGAAACAAAACGTAAACATACTCTAGAAGATGTTTTTTTTCTTTTTCTTTTTTTTTTTTTCCTGGGGAGGCGTCGGAGGAGAAGAGGAAAGAAGGGTGCAGTTTGCTCAATCAGAGCTGATATTTTTTTTTGTTCTGCAGTCGGAAGGGCAGATTCCTTAATGGCCAAGATGAAAATGCCAGTGGGATGGCAACGCATAGTTCCCACTCTATGGCTTGCACTACACATTTTCATCTTGGCAAGAAATGTGATGTAGCTCAGAAACAACAATCCCAGAGTATATTTAGCTACTAAAGCTGTGGCACAGAAATGTCACATTCCCATGAGTCAACCTTTTTAAAGAACCCCCTCTTCACGCCCCCACAGATATTCCCCAAGATGCCTGCACTGAATTAAAAGTGAAGCATATGGATGGATGTGACATCATCAAAGCACCCGTGTTACAGAAAAGAAAGAAGCAAGTAGATTCTGTACAATTAGTACAATCAGTACGAAGTAATTTGTGAGCACAGGAAAAGAAAGAAAACACTGTCCAAAGGATTAGACACAACCAATGAAGAACACCACAAAGCACCTTGCAAAACAAAGTGAAAATGTTAAAAAAAAAAAAAGAATATTTTTTCTCTGTGAATGTGTGAAAGTAAAAGAAATTACAGCAAAAGTGAAAACAAAATCTTGGTAAAAGGATAGTAAGCATAACATTTTCTGATTTAATTTTGTGTGAGAACTCTTTCCTTTGCCCTTTTAAAACAAATCAATAGTAATTTTGGAGCCAACCGTCTCTGACTGGGCAAGGCAAGGAGTAACAACACACAAGTGGATGGTAATGGTAAACAACCATGCGGTCACCTCTGCCGCCATTGTTTTGATTGCGTGTAGACTGCTTCCAGCTTTGTCAATATTCATAATTAGGCACCAAAGAATGCAAGATATTTAAATGACCCTGTCAAGTGCTAATAAGGCTCTCTGGTAACCATCACTCCCTGGGGAGGGAACTATTGCATGTAAGCCACCTCATCAGTCAGTGAATTGAAGTGAAAATGGTTAGAATCCAACAGCTACACATTTATTAATATTTTCACTGCATGCTCCTCTGGAAGCTGCTACTGGCATACAAGATGCTTTTAAGAGCTAGCTTTCCATCTATTAAGCACTGCTTCACAAAAGATTTGTGAAGTAGGGACCCACACATAACAAATAGTGCCATTAAAATGCATACATGTCTCCACATTCCTCTGGGTACATAAAGGGCCAGATCTTCCACTATTGTGGTTTCTGACACCGCTCCCCTGTCTGACGCCAGCAGGAGAGCTGGGTTCAAGGATCTCTTCCTTCCTTCCTCATCAAATCCGCTTAATGTCATCCCCTTCTCTCATGGTGGAGGAGAGAAAGATACCACTTACTTTCAGAAGAGGGAACACTGTATTTTCTAAGAAATGTCCTCTCACCTCAAGCATTTTGAATACCAGATGTTACTAACAGACTGGACAGAAAAAGAAAAAAGCCTTATTTTTTGGCTGTCAGCATTATCACTAATTTATTGCTGAGAGGAAAGAGGAGTGCTAGATAAATCACATGCCATCTTTAGAAGAGCATGCAGGCTTATTTGCCTTCCTTCCTCTACATAGGTGATACCCAGAAATCACTTTTTCTGAATTGCCCTTCTACAGCTGAAGAGCAAGGGCTGGGGAATTAGAAAAATGAGGTAGGTATCTCAAATTGACCTTAAGCATGAATTAGGAATCTGAGCTTTCGTCTTCAGCACCCTCAGTCCCTTGCACCCTAAGTCACGGTTTTGAGTTTGAGTATTGCAGCTGCCTGAAATTCTTCCTCTGCCCATGGGTCTGCAAGGTGCAGAGGAGCTCTGTGCTTAACTCACATGTAAGCCTGATCAGGTTCCAGAAATTAACTTTTTTGCTTTAGATTTGCAATTATTCTCCCAGAATGTCTACAGGATCAAGCTCTGACAAGTTCTAACTAGGGGCCACTTCTAAAACCCAGCTGAAGAAAGAAGAGCAAATGGCAGTTTTTCCCTTTTTTATAGGAAAAGCTCATTGCTGGGAGGTGGGAGACAAGTTCGCATCCTCTGCCTGAGGGAATTCCAATCTTCATATTCCATTTCCTGCCATCAAGCCTAAAAGCCAAGGATTTAGATTAATGTTCGCCATGGCATCTCAGGAAATTTTAGCGTATCTCCTGCCTACTTTGACTGGCCCACTCAGCTGGAAAAGTGCTTCAGGCTTTGTCTCTGCTGGCCCAGCCAGGTGATGCCCACAGTTCCTAGCTGTGAAGGCTCTTTGAGGTCAGTCCTGGGGAGTTCAGTGAGAAATCCAGGATATCCCAGGACTATGGGAGGCACCGTATCTGGGACTGTTGTGAATAACAGGCGCTGAGTTCACAGTCTGTAATCAGACCGCCACCAGCTGTTCGTGCAGCTCTGCTGAAGACTGTTCTGCAATGTTAACGTGCTCATTACCCCCTGCTGAAAGTCTCCACAGCCAATGCAGAGAATTCAAGATTCACTGGGTCAGATGGAGGGGATCGAGTATGATTTAGTAACCTACTAGTTTGGGCAGACAACACAAAGCAGCAGGTCTGGCATGCCAGTAGCTTCTCCAGGAACAGCTGATGCTTTTGTCTAATGAGTTTTTCATGTAAAATGCATGAACAATAGAGACTGGAATCCACATTTCAATTAATATTTTAAGTGTTTTATATCAAGTATTCATAGCAGAAAGGACTGAAGCTCATGTGTGTTCTTGCCCCTGGTGAGTGCCCTAACCACTCAGCAAGTGAGTTTTGGTCATACCCATCCTCCTCCTGGCCCACTGAGTACTTAATTAGTCCATACAGAGCGAAACATCTTCAACAGAGAAGAGATTGAAAGAAGCAACCCAAGAACACCCTGGAGAAGATCCCTCTAGGCAGTGGAGCTATTTGAACCTAAGTCCCCTATTTACAAAGGAACCATTTTAACCTCTTTGAGACACAGATTAAAAGGAGCTGGGAGAACGATGGAGGGCCAAGGTGGAATGAGGGGGCACCACCATCCTTACAGTGGAGGAAAGCTCCTTCTCTAAGCACATTTAAGTAGCAAGTTTAGGTAATTCTCTGCCTGATTCTCCGTATGTATAGCAAAGGGGGACTGGAGCCCAAATGACAGGGTATTGTCACACTTGTATTAGACCCAAGTGTGCTTCAGCACAGGGCTGAGCACTGTCAAACGACACCTAAATCCTAACCTTTTGGTGCTTTAAAAACGCAACACAGAATCTCTCTCCACCAGCAGTCACCTCCGTATCTTTTAAAATAGGCTGATGACCTTCTCAGCCCACACTCTCAAAGGTATTTGATGCTCAGGTCTCACTGAAGACAGTGGGACTTAGGCCCAGTGGCTAGGACTAGTGTCAGTTTTACTTCAATGGTTAAACTAGAGCAGACCTTCAGTGCCTCAGTCTGTTGTCCAGAGACAGAAACAATGTGAAATTAGCCGAGATCTGCTGTGCTGCCCTAGGAATTCAGACAACAAGGCAATATAAAAGTGCACCCTTAAGAACAATGGGAAGCCACGGATCTTCCTCTGCCAGACAATGGGGGAGATCAAGTTTAAAGAGAGCTAAATCCCCATTGTTTCCCTTCTTCCCGTACACATGCACAACACACACTGCAAAGGCATACACTTCTGTTTGTTTTGTGTGGTTTCCTCAGGCAGTGAATTATCCAGGACTGAGTCTGAGATTGGCTGTTTAGTTTCAGGCTTTACGATAAGCTTTTAATTATAGCACAGGAGTTTTATTACATGTTACTCCGAGCCAGCTGGAAGCAGTTACACTTTAGTCCTCCCCCCCTCCCTCCTCACCACAGGACGTCATTTCCAAGGCCTTACCCTTCTTGTCTTGATGATTATGGGATGAAACTGCCACATATGGATCTGTATTTTCAGATGAACCAAGCGGATCCTTCCAATCCAGCATGCGTCCCCTAGCATCATAACCCTGTCGAGCGCGAGAGTCAGAAGTGGTGGTGCTTGGGACTAGGGAACTGGAGTGTCCTGTTTACATTATAAATACAGGTAGGGAAGACAAGTCTCATTAGTCACTTACCACGCTACCCCACCACGCTCAGGAATGCACGCACTGCTTTTCTTCTGTGACGGGCGAACATTTTGTCTTAGGCTGAGCAATGTTTCAAAAGTCCTTCAGCGCATCGCCCCAAGGAAACAGAGCATTTGAACCTCCCAGATCAGTCAGGCAGAGGGTGTTAAGAGGTGCACACAGGCCTCAGGCTGCCACTGAGCTCGTAGTTGCGTGTTTTTACTCAACAAAGTTAAATGTGTGTTGAAGAGGGTGAGCACACTTCATCCGAGTCAAGCGTCTTTTGGCTGGATTTAGTACACATGCCTGACCGACACTGAAGTGTCAGCCCACGCTGCCTGGTACTGGCTTAGTTAGAAAGCAATTTTAAAACCAATTTAAAATGGAACCAATTCTAAAATGGCTGAAACTGAAGGGGAATGCCAGTAGAGCTAAGAAACGGTAATGTCAGTGGCTCTCTGCCCCGAGCCCTCGGGGGAATGAAGGACTGCCCAGCACCGGCGTGCTTGCACTGCGGCATTGCCCTCCGGATGGCAAACATGCAGGGCCCATCAGCCGCTCGCACCCACTTGCACCCTTGCCATTGGTCCTGTCTGAGCTGATAGTCCAAAATGGTTCTGAGATAAGCATGAAACCGAACATAATTTCTGCTCAGAGTGACAGTGAAAACAACGCCTTACTACTGGATCTGCCCAAGAACCCGCGACTCCAGCAGCTCCTGCCACAGCCTCCTCTTAGGACAGAGGTCTCGCATGCCCTTTTTCTATTACAACTACTTTAGACATTGTTACTGCTGTCCTGAATAAGGCTGACAAGCTCCTCACCGATCAAATACACCCAGACAAACAGCATGTTCACAGGACATGCCCTGCTGGGAACACCACACAATTTTAACAGCGGTTTGGCTGGGGCAGAGACGTGTTTGTAGATTCATATGTCCTTTTCAGCTAGATCCTGAAAAGTATGTCAGCACCCAAAATGCTTGGAGTGCTTGGAGTCTACAGTCTCTGAAAGATGGCTCCAGCCTGGACTTCCCAGTGGCTCGGGCTGTTCTGTTGCTGCTGGGGAGGAGCCACCAAAACTCCATCCACAACCACATTTTGACCTTAAAAACGCACACGCCTCTGAAAGTTCCCTTTCGGCACATAC